GCTGCTGCTGCTGCTGCTGCTGCTGCAGCAAAAAATAAGCAGGCTGCAGCAGCAGATGAGGCCGCCAAGAGCCGCAAACAAGAAGCCCGCAAGGCAGAGTCCCCAAAGAACGCAAACCCCACACGATCCCAGGAGCCCACAACACGATCCCAGGACCCCACAACACGATCCCAGGCTAAGACGGAGCCAGCAGCAGCAGCAGCAGCAGCAGCAGCAGCTCCTCCCCCACCGCCGCCGCCCCCACCCCCGCCTCCGCCCCCGCCTCCTGCAGGAGCAGCAGCAGCAGCCGCAGCAGCAGCAGCAACGAAAGCAACAGAAGCAAAAGCAGCAGCAGCAGAAGACGCCCCGCAATCGGCCGCAAGTGCTGCTGAGGCTGTGCCCCCCAGAAGCTGAGCAGCAAAACAGGAAACAGCAGCAGCTGCTGCTGCCTCCTGCTGCAGCTGCTGCTGCCTCCTGCAGCAGCTGCTGCTGCCTTCTGCAGCAGCTGCTGCAGCCCCACAGCTTTCTTTGTTTGTTTCTGTTTGCTGCTGCTGCTTTATTTCTTTCTTTTAAGTTTTTATTTTAAAACACCAGAAGCCGTGCTGCTTCTCTTTTTATGTTTGAAACAGAACGCCAACTGCAGCAGGCAGTCCCCTTAATTTATTCACAGTTTGCTGCTGCTGCTGCTGTTCTTGCTGCTGCTGCTACCGCTGCTTTTGCTGCTGCTGCTGCTCTTGCTTTTGCTGCTGCTGACGCCGCCGCTTTACTGCCGCTGCTGCTCTTGTTTTTGCTGCTGCTGCTGTTGCCCGCTGTAGGCCCTACGCTTTAGGGTTTAGGGTTTAGGGTTTACAACGGAAGGAGAAAAAGAACAAATAATTGAAGAGGACAGGAAAGAGCAGAAAGAGCAGCATCAGCAACAGAGTGCTTCCTTTTTGCTGCTGTCACACAAGAACCCTTCATGTTGCTTCGGTGCTGCAGCAGCAGTGCTGCTGTGTTGCAGCTGCAGCAGCACAGTTCCTATGCTGCTGCTGCTGCAGCAGTGCTGCTATGCTGCTACTGCAGCTGCCGCATCAGAATTGCTATGCTGCTGCTGCAGCAGCAGTGCTGCTATGCTGCTACTGCGGCAGCAGCCTTGCTGCTGCAGCAAAGCTGCTACGTTGCTGCCGCAGCAGCGAAGCTGCTATGCCGCAGCTGCAGCAGCAGTGTTGCTATGCTGCTGCTGCTGCTGCTGCAGCGCAGGTGTGGCTCATGAACTAATATTGTGAAGGGCTGCTGCTGCTTTGTGTCAGGGCTGGTTTGGACCAGCGGCAACTCGCAGCAGCAGCAGCAGCTGCTGCTGCTGCTGCAGCTGCTGCTGCAGCTGCTGCTGCAGCTGCTGCTTTCTTTTTGGGAACTTTCGATCAAAGCTGAGGAGTGTTTGCAAGTTAGATAAATTAATAAATAAGTTTAAAAAGAATTAACAAATTAATTTTTTATTTTGAGGATTCAAAGGCCTCGACGAAAAAACAGAATCGACACCACGCACGCTGCGGTGTATGTACACCTCAGGCAGCAGCAGCAAAAGCTGCTGCTGCTGCAAGCAGCACAGCACACATACGCCGGCATTGCTGCAGCAGCAGCAGCAGCACAAGCATCAGCTGCAGCAGCAGCTGCTGCTGCTGCTGCACTTACCGCTGCTGCTACTGCTGCTGCTGCTGCTGCTGCGGGTTATGCAGGCCATCTGAGAGCCTCGCTGTAGGAAAGCCCTGCAGCAGCTGCTGCTGCTGCTGGAACTGCTGCTGGAACTGCTGCTGCTGTGGCTGCTGCAACTGTTGCTGTGGTTGCAGCTGCTGCATCTGCGGCTGCACTTGCTGCAGCTGCTGCTGCGGCTGCAGTTGCTGCAGCTGCTGCTGTGGCTGCAGTTGCTGCAGCTGCGGCTGCAGTTGCTGCAGCTGCGGCTGCAGTTGCTGCAGCTGCGGCTGCAGGTGCTGCAGCTGTGGCTGCGGCGGCAGTTGCTGCAGCAGCTGCTGCTGCGGCAGTTGCTGCAGCTGCGGCTGCAGCTGCTGCTGCTGGAACTGCTGCTGCTGCTGCTGCTGCTGCAGCTTGTGGAGAGGAGGCAAAGGTTTGTCTAAATGCTCCCAACGCAAGACATGAAGAATGGAGGCTTGGTAACTCTACACAGAAAAAAAGAAAAAGAAAATAATAAACTAAACAAAATAAATAAAATGTATATATAAATGAATAAATAAATAAATAAAGTAGAATAAATAAAATAAAATGAAATAAAATAAATAAATAGATAAAAACCCACTCCAAGTGCATATAAAAGTCCTCTATTAGAATCATTTGCTTTTTTGTGTTCATTTAAAACACAAAACGAATTAAATAAAACCAAATAAATAAATAAAACAAATAAATAAAACAAATAAACAAATAAAACAAATAAATTAATGAAATAAAATAAATAAATACATAAAAACCCACTCCAAGTGCATATAAAAGTCCTCTATTAGAATCATTTGCTTTTTTGTGTTCATTTAAAACACAAAACGAAT